TTGAGCTTGTGTGTCAACTTGACTGTGACAGTATGCCACAAATCTGGTCAAACACCATCATAGAAGCTTCTGCAAAGATATTTTAGATGAGCTCAACCTTTGAATCAGTTGACTCTGAGTAAAACAGAATGCTTTCTGTAATGTCACAGCCTTTCTCAAATCTACTGAGAGGAGAAGACAGGTCCTTGTGCTGGTTGCGTTTTGTTAACTTGGTATAAACCTAGACATATTTGAGAAGAAGGAGTCTTAATTGAGAAAATGGCCCTATCATATTGACAAGTAGGCAAACCTGTAGGGGCATTTTTCTTGATTGATGATTGATGTGGAAGGCCCAGTCCACTGTGGATAGTGCTATCCCTGGGCAGGTGGTCCTGGGTGTTTAAGAAAGCAGGCTGAGCAAGCCACAGAGAGCAAGCCAGTAAGCAGCATTCCTCAGTGGCCTCAGCATCAACTCCTGCCTCTACATACCTGCCTTAAGTTTCTGCCCTGACTCCCTTTGATAATAGCCTACGATGTAAAGTATAAGTAATTCTTTCCTCCCCAAGTTGCTTTTGGTTATGGCGTTTATCACATCAATAGAAACCAAGGGTGGTCCCCAAAGAGGAACGAATTCAGTCTCCAGACTGACTTTGGGATTAAGCTACAATTGGACTCTTTGTCTCATCTGGCATTCTGTGCACAGCCCAGACATGCCATTCTCACAACTGCACATGCCAAGTCCTTAACAAATCTTTTCTTCTATATATGTATGCATCCTGCTGGCTCTACTTCTCTACAACGTCCTACAACAGAAAGAAGATGAATATTGGATGGTTTGAATCTTATGTTAGCTTTCCACTCCTGTAACAAGTACCTGAGATAATTCAAGTTATAAGGAAGGAAGTTTTCTTTAGTGTAGCATGAATTCTAATTGGTTTTAATAATAAAAACCCAGAGTCAGATGTCAGGGTGAAAGATGAAAGATCAGAGAAGCAGCTCAGCCAGCCACTGTGAAACTTCTTACCTCTAGGAATCCTCAGACTGAAAGGGAAGCTGAGTTCCTGTCTCCAACCCCACCTTATCACTTCCTCTCTCTGCCCAGCCATATCACTTCCTGTTTCCCCCTCCCAAGTGCTAGGATTAAAGGAGTGTGCCTCCCAGGTACAGGGATCAAAGGCATGAGATCCCCAATGCTGGGATTAAAGGTGTATGCCACCATTGCTTGGCCTCTAATCTCCAGACAAACTTTATTTACTTAAACACAAACAAAATATCACCACAGTTTAGGGTCATGGTCTCCATCTTAGTTTCTATTCTTGTTGCCATGATAAAGAAATACCCGAGAAAGGCAACTCAAGGGGAAATGGTTTATTTCAGCTCACAGTTTAAGGGTACAGTCCACTGTGGCAAGAAAGCCAAAACAGAAGGAGCCTGAAGCAGTTGGTATCATATGGCAGCCACAGTCATAAAGCAGAGAGTGATGAATACCTGTGCTCAGCCCACCTTTTCTCTTATACAGTCTAGGATCCCAACACAGATCCCAAGCAGGGCCAGCCACCACAGTGTGGCGATCTTTCCTCAGTTAATCTAATCAAGCTAATTCCCAGATGATTGTAGACCTTAGGTTGGCAATGGACAGCAACCATAGCAGTTTCCTTCCATAGCTGCTTGGTGCCGTTGCTTTGGGCCTGTGGTTGGGCAGTACATGGTGAGGACCACGTGGTAAAGCAAGAGGCTCAGCTCATGCTTTACAGGAAGCAGACAGAAAAAAAGGAGTTAGGATTCTAAAATCCAAATACTCCTACTGGGTCATCTCTCCCAAAGAAGGTTCCACCACCTCCACAAAGCAACACAGGTGAGGACCAAGCCTTCAAATACGGACCTTTGGGTGACTTTTAAGACGCAAACTCTAGCAAATTTGAGAGTTCCTTTTCGGAGAAGGTGACTCCTGAGGGCGGGGCTTCACCTGATTTGCATCTGGAATTTTCAGCTCAGCCATGGACAGATAATACACGGTTGCTGACTGAATAAACAATGGATGGATGAAGTTACACAGTGTGCTGAAACATGGCTTTCCCAAGGCTGCCAAGGATTCTTGAAGGTGTGAGGTAGAATATTTAATGTCCACATACCTCTGAGTTTCCAGGAACAAGCCCTCCCAGCTTGAGGTGCTGACTGTGGCCAGTGCCTTCCAGCTCCACCTCCTACTCTTAGCAGTGGGATCTGATCCTGCATCTCTTCTCTACTTATCCTGCATCTCTACTCCACCCACCACTGGGACCCGCCTCTCCTCTTTAGACGTGACGTCCTCTCAGTGTCTGCTGAGCTCACACATTTCTTAGTGTCAGATAGGAGTTTTGGGAGGCTGTGGCTTTGGACAAGGCTCCCGCACTGGACCCCCTCAGCATCAGAGCATGACTGAGCTTTGTCTGACCCTTCAGGAGGCTAAGAGAAATGAGAGGTGAATTTGCTTAGCCAGCCATTTTCACCGGCATGCTGGTGAAGTCCCTTCTGCTTCAATCCTTACAAAACCACGGACCCTGGGTCACCCGATGTTACCAATGAGGTTTCCATCGCCCTGTTTCTCTGTTCCACCTTCAAAGACTCTCACATTGAGTTGACCAACTACTTTCATTCTTTGTTTCTACATTCCCCCCCTCTCCTCATAGTCCATTTCTCCCTGCAAAACCAAGTTTCCTGTTTAGTTTGTTGGAAGAGTCATTCTATTTTATGGGAAAATTCCAGAAAAAGAAGTAAAGTGAATTAAGATCTTTAAGTCCTTACAACGTGCATGGCGATTCCGACCTGGTCAGGGCATGCATGCACACTCGTGCATCTTCCCAAACACACAGAAAGCACACTCCTATGCACAGGCACACATTTGTATTCCTATTTCCAGATGTACACACTCACATTCACACCGCATTGCACACAAGCACACTCACTATCACAGATGCCTTGTGTGTATGTACACACACACCCGAGTCCTCCTTTCTGGCTCCCAGAAGGGTTCTGTTTGAGGACCTGAGGGGTTACTGTAGGCCTTGCGTGGGTTACATTCTGTATTTACTCCAGACTCCCTCAAGGGCAAGAGGCAGGCCTGGCCCACCTTGACCTTGAACCTGGAGCAGAAAGATGAACATATGCTCTTAAAGCCCCACTCTGTGCACAGAAACCCCTTCTTCCTGTCGTGAGGAAGTCTTAATTGTCCCAAGCTTGGGAAGAAGATAGACTTCCCTCCACCCCCATAGGGCTTGTACTACAGACTCCTCTTGTTTCCCTTGTGCCAGTCCCTGAGAAAGGGGCTGGAGTTCTCCCTTAGAGTCCTCTTCCAGCAGTCTCAATGGGGAAGCTGCGGGATATGGAGGTGGACAGATCACAAGTCCTCTTGGGGGAACTCCAGAGCCATTCATTTGTTGTGACATATTTGCATTTCATTTGGTCTTTACAGGGGCCTCATGTTGTGTCACCAATTAAATGACTTTGAAAGACAATTACATCGGCATGTGTGTGGATTGCCCTCTGCCCTCTCCCTCACAGATGCTGAATCAGAATAACCTGCACTTGATCTTGTCACCAGCCTATGTCCCATAGTAAATCTTCTGTGTTAATTATCAAGCAGAGAGACCATTGACTGTGTTGTGACTGCTCCGAGCTTGACCCCTTCAATACCACGTGATTCTACTGAAACCAATGTTAGACCCACAGGAAAAGTATGTAGACTTTTACTCTGGGGGAATACCTTCCATGTCATTCCCAACAGAAAGTGCAAAGTCCACAGCACAGGAGGCTATGCCCAGGGCTGTGTGACATAGTTCCTTCCGTCCTGGGGAGAAGGACATTAAACCCACTGTGCCAGCTTTCACAGAAGTGCGTATCATTAAGTAATGGAAGAACATGGCCCCATAAAAGCAGGAGGCGTCCCCTTACCCTTCAGAAAACAGGTTCAGTGGCATTCCAAATAGATGACCCCAGTCCGTTTCTCTTGGCAAGCAGCCCAGCCCCAGCAGCGCCATAGGATTCCACGAGATCTTGGCTCAGGATCAGCTCTCATGAATTCATCCGCTCCTGGCGGGAAGAGTCCTGGAAATCTTGATGCCACCTGGGGAAACAATGTGACAGTTGTCTGAGGGAAGTCAGACCCACCTCCCAGGTGTGCGTCCAGGGCTCGGAGGCAGGGCAGTTAACTTTGCATGCGGTTCTGACACTTGTCTCCTTGTTTGTGGAGGACCTCTACTCAGCCTGAGAGAGAGAGAGAGAGAGAGAGAGAGAGAGAGAGAGAGAGAGAGAGAGAGAGAGAGAGCAGCCTTCAGATCTTGAGGATGAGGAAGCAGGTATAGTTGTCCAAGGGCACAAAAATGGAGTAAAATCAGGCTTCAGGTAAGAGTACATACAATACAGTCAGAGATACACAAGCTTCTGTGACTTTCTTTTTTTTCTTTCTTTTCTTTTCTTTTCTTTCTTTTTTTTTTTTTTTTTTTTGGTTTTTCGTGACAGGGTTTCTCTGTGTAGTTTTGGAGCCTGTCCTGGAACTCACTCTGTAGACCAGGCTGGCCTCAAACTCACAGAGATCCACCTGTCTCTGCCTCCCGAGTGCCGGGATTAAAGGTGTGTGCCACCACCGCCTGGTGACTTTCTTGTATCTATCTGGGAAATCACCAGGAAGGTCCTAAGATTAAAAAACACTCAAGGCTCTGGAGAGATGGCTCAGTGGTTATCTCAGCATGGTCACAACTACTCAGCTACTTTAACTCCAGCTCCAGGGGATCAGATGCCTCTGTAAGCATCCACACTCAAGGGCACATACCCACCCATATACATGTAACTGAAAATAAAACAAGTCTTTAAAAAAACTATACAAAATATTTTAATTTCCCCCCAAATTTAGGGTTTGATTCTGTGGAGACAACAGTCAAAACATTATCAGATATTTTATCATTTAATAAAAATTAAATCACAGAGTTAAAAAAAAAAATTTGGGCACCTACTGAGCAGGGGAGTGATTATAGTTTTAACTAAACATGGAAGGTGAGGATATGACTGACCGAAGGCAGGTAAGTCTCAGAAGTGAGGGCTTCTCTCCATGACCCTGTTTGCAGTGAAGGACTGCACTTGAGTGAGGTCACTCAAAGCACAGTTGCGTACCTGGCACATGAGGAGACTCTGTCATCTGGGAAGAGGTTTTAGATTGTAAAGAAGCTTCTCGCCCTTAGAATGATTGACTCCCTTTTAAGCATCACTTTATAGATAAGTGGGGGAAAGGCTGGACTGATGCGTGTGGTCCAGGATGAGCTCTGGAGGCAGGATGTGAAGTCACTTTCAGCCTAACAAACAAACATGTGCACAGATGGGTGAACGTTGGGTGTGACAGACAGATATCTATTAGAGCAGTGTGTGTTTGTGTCAGTATGTACACAATTCCTAGCTCCATCTTCTAAAAGGACCTAGAATCTGTCAAATGTTAATGGACTAGACATCATTAATGTGATTTTTGGCTGTATATATTGTATATACTTATTAGATAGTTTTTCTTGTATTAGTTATAAGCTTTCTTTAATTTTAGACAAAAAGAGAGGAAATGTGGTGGTATTGTGTTCCCCAAAATATTGTGTACCTTAATGATGACCACCCCAAGGGAGCCCAATGCTTAGCTCTTGGCTCTAATGTGACTCTTGGATGAAAGGAAATAGAACTCCTGGGAGAGCAGGTTCCCCTGAGAATAAGCAGGAAGAAGTGGGGGGCTATCTTGTGGTGCTGGAAAGTAAGGGAATGCAGAGACTGATAAGCAGACACACAGCAGAAGCAAGGCAAAGAGACACAGGAGCCAATCGGAAGCTCACAAGTCAAAGCTGGGATTATCTGAGCAAGAAAGTTAATGATGCTCAGAGTATAAGTGTAGAACTACGAGTTAATGATAAAGATAGAGATAAGTAAAAGGAGAATGGACAATCTGTACCCAATTAACATGTAACTGCTCCACCCCACGGGAGTAAAACACACCTCTCCATTTCTCAAGTACGCACCGTACCTGGTGTCTGGAAAGAGATACAGGGCAGAGCTGCACAGCAGTGGATTATCCCACCTGGAGATCAAGGCTGACATCATTTATGATGACATGGTGACAGTGGGCCTCCTCACGTCACATGGGGAGGTGGCAGGCAGATTACCTCTGTGGTTTTCCTCCTAATAAGCCATAACCCTTGTCCAACCATGAGAAAGCCCCAGGCGAATCTCACCTGAGAGACAGTCTACAAATACCTGGCCAGACTCTGTCTGTCTAGGTCATCAAAATCACATTCGTCAAGACCATCAAAGGCACGAAGATCTGAACACCTGGTACAGCCAAGAGGAGCCCGAGAAAGCAAGATGACTGATGTAATGGGGGATCTTTAATGGGTCCTGGGGTCTGAGAGAACATTAGGTAAAAGCCTAAACTACTCTCCAGGGCTCTAAACCCTGGTTACATGCTGCCCTGTTACATGCTGCCATGTGGCACAACCTTGCAAGAAATGGAACCCAAGTGGACCACTCAACAAATGCGTGCTCATTTCACATAGTGAGTATCATAAGGACAAAGTGACTGTGGTGATGCCTGGTCAGGGGGCATAAAAGGTGTTAACATGTTCCTCCTTCCTCATTTGGAAGTGTGAATCAGGTCTCAGTGAAGTCCTCTCAAGCTTTCCTTGGTCATGGAGAGACTACCCTGCTCAGGAGGGTAGGTGTGGAGAGAGGTTTTGTACCGAACAACTAAACACAAATGAATGTTCTGGAATGGGAAACTCAAATGACCTCTCTCCACTCTGCACGTAGGAATAACTCTACTTGAACACAGGTGGAGTCCGGGAGTGGTGTGAGTATGTGTTGAGTTTGCAACACAATCAGAGGAAATAGCAGTTGCATATTGACCACAGACACACATCTGGATACACCACATTTGCGGCACTCAGTAGACATCCTCAGCCAGCTGGGGGCCAAGGACATTGCCTATAGCTGGACACTGAGACACAGGGAAGGGGCGGATCAACGCTACTGTGTTGTAAGTCAACAATGAGCAACACACACCCAGATAATGGAGCCTCTTTAAACGCTATCCAGAAGAAAATGGTTTTCTGTTTTAGGCTTTAATCATTTAGTTGTCTTAAAGGAGAACTCCTTCATTACCTTCCTTTTGGAAAGTATCTTAGCCACCTCTTTGTTAACTCTTTTGGGTGAGTGAATTTTCCAATCAGTGTTTCTAGTTCATCCCAAACCCACTGGGATGAAATGCTATCACCCCCAGACACTAATTCAGAAAGACTACACATGGCTCTCCTGGAGCTGCTCCTCCAGAGACATGATGCAGGGCACACATGGAAAGCATCAGCACAAGGTCCTTGGGGAAGGGAAGGCTTCAGTGAAGATTAGAAGCTGCTAGATGCCTCTCATGACAGAAATCGTCAAGCACGAGACACCAGGCATCGGAAGCAAGGTGAAGAAGGACAGAAGAAGACACGACCTTTTCCACAGACTGCAGCGACAGAACGGCCCCATTGGCTTCTAAGTGAGGAGTCAAGTCCCGCCGTCGCTCCTTCCAGGTTAATGGTGTAAGGACCACACTTGTCACTGAGGACCAGCTGTTTGTGTCTTGGGTGGCTAGGGCTGGGCTATGTTATGTGGTACAGGGAGCTGCTACTGTGGCTGGTGTCTTCTCAGGAACATCTCTGCAGAAACCAGCAAGCACCGGTTACACACCCAGAGTGCCCGACTGCTGCCAGCCCGTGAAGCCACCGTCACCCTCCGGCATCCTGTTGTTCTTTGCCTCCACCCCACCCCTCGCAGCACCTTCCCTTCCAAGGCCCAGGGTGCCGGCTCCCCATCTCTTCAGATCAGGCCCGGAATAGCTTTCTGCTCCAGATGGCTGGTACACTTGGCCTAGCCTTCCTCAGCCCTTTGCCAATCCTTGCAGCTTCCAAGCAGCTCTGAGATGTAGCCTCCAGTGAGAAGCCAGGGGAAAGCTAGTAGTTCAAGTATCCATTTGCTCTCGACTGGCCCTTCATCACCTCTTTTGTCTAATGGGAGGAGAAAGCAGACAAAGCCGGTCATTTCCTGTTTGAAAAGTAAGACCAGGCTTAGGTGGGCGAACCTGGGGCAGATGAACAGTTCGTGGGCTGCACTGGCATTTTGTCCTCCAGCTCTATAAGAATCCCTTAATTGTCTTTACAGGAGACCTAATGGAAGCCCAGAGCATCTAGACATGTGTTTCATGCAACATCTGATGTTTCATGATGCCAGTGTTTGCATTTTTTATTCTGTGCATGAAAGAGACCCTGAAAGGAAAGGGTGACATTAGGGTGTAGAGCATGCGGGAGTTTAATCCCTGAGGTCAGGAGTGTTGAGAATGGAAACCTCTGGGTTTGCAGTGTTGGGAATAGAACCCAGGGCTTCCCACTTGACAGGCAAGTGCCCTATCACCGAGCTATATCCCCAGCTCCAAGAAGGCGAAAATTTAGCCTATAGTGTTGACAGGTGGGAATTTTGAAAAATGACTAAGATTAAATTAGGTCATTAGGGTGACTATAAAGAGAAGGCAGGAGGCCACCCAGAGAAGTACACATGTGTTCTTGATGTATGTCATTGATGCAGCTTGAGCCGTATTTAGACTTTCAGCCTCTGAAACTGAGTAAAATGAACTTCTTTCTTAATAAAATGGCCTGCCACAGGCATACCAATAGAGTAATGAAAAGCAGATAAATACAGTGCAGAAACAATACAAGAGGAGAAAAACATTTCGCTCTTAAGTAAGACATTTAAAAAGAACCATCCATATGCATCATTGGTTCCAAGTCTGTGGGAACAAGGAAACCATGTCTCCTCAGCCAAGGATCTATAAAGCTCACCTCATAAAAAGATCAGGGTATTTCCCCAGAGTCTGCTGAGCGCACAAATGAATTTTCATAAGGCTTAAGTATCAAAGGCTGTGCCTTCAACTCGCCAGGATCCCATTAAGCGTCACAAACACTTCAAGTCTCAGTAAATACAAAGACATTTCGGCTGCCTTGCCTTTGATTTCCTACCATGGTTTGCATGTGCAATCACCCTGGTTTTTTAATTCTCATTTCCCTCGGTACAAATTTCTTGTGGTAAAATTGTCAAGAGAGTCAGAAAGCAGGGAGAGGCGCAGTTAGACACTTGGGCAGAGCTGCCTGAGTTCGCTTTGGGGAGGATCTGGGGACTCATTCTGCAGGTAAAGGGATAGCAAGGGGAGTCAGGGAGGGGCTAGGACTCTGAGCCAGTACCTTCCCTACCAGCACGGTCCCCTAGGGGACCGGTTAAACACAGCAGTGCCTTCTAAAGACCTTTGGCGAGACCTTTGTGATGCAGACTGTGTCTGTTCCATCTGCCTGGGCCTCACAAGACCCTTGTGGGAAGATGGAGCCACCAAGAGCCTTTCCAGGGCATTTGGCTGGATTTCAAAATCCTAAGTAGTGGGATGAGCCGAGTGCTGGAGTTTCAGACATCACAATGACATCAGTGCTGATATGGGTGAACACCAGACACGGATCTCGTTTCTCTCCCTGCCCTGGACTTACTCTTTTTTTTTTTTTCTTTTTTTTTGGAAATCCTATGCTTGAGTGTCTTCACTGCATGCCATATAAGTCTCCTAGGGTTCCCCTAGCAACTACCCCAAATGGGGTGTCTAAAAACAACAGGACTTGACTTCCTGTTATAGAGCCTGGAAGCCCAGGTCAGTTTATGGGCAGGGCTTTGCCCCCTCCAAAGGCTCCAGGGAAGGGTTTCTGCTTCGCCCCTTTGAGCTTCTGGCAGTTACAGCCTCCTTGGCATTCCTCACAGTGGAGTGCCTCTCCACCCTCTGCCTCTGTGAGCACCCAGCTTCTGCCTTGTGTGGCTCCAAGTCTTTCTCCTCATAATAAAGCCAGTCACCAGAGTAGGGCCTCATCCTTTCCTTTTTCCTTTCCTTTTTCCTTTCCTTTCCTTTTTCCTTTCCTTTCCTTTCCTTTCCTTTCCTTTCCTTTCCTTTCCTTCTCTCTCTCTCTCTCTCTCTCTCTCTCTCTCT